TACATGGAGTCTCCACTGCAACATTTCAACTCTAAAGCAGCACATGGCAGCTTGACCCTCAAAAGCATCCTCTGTTCTATATAAGACACTTCCTAGAAATCAATCGTGCAGAAAAGATGCAGAGCCACTTGAAGAGTGGCCACTGCCCAGACCAGATGGGATCGGAAAGGGCAGGTGAACTGCTACCTGCTAACAAAATCCTAAACCACAAAGACCAAAATGCTCACAGGTGTTAAACACAAAATAGCCACTCCCTTCTGTTCTTTTAATGTCTATGATAGTCCTAGTTAACATTTTCCATGTTTGAAAGGGGCTTTGACTGAAAATCACATTCGAATTATTCATCAGAGAAGTTTTAGGATATCCTTCTGTGAACCCAAGTCATCAAGCTCTGAGCTGGCAGAACTCCGTCCCCAAGGGAAAGTTATCATGAATACAGCTGCTGGTCCAGCTGGAATGATTTGGCAGCTCAGGCTGCTGTCATTATGATATGCATGGCTGTGGCGAGGCTAAGGTGGCACAGGAGTGGACCCATAGATGTTGCTATCCTGTGTGTCTTTCCATCCAACCTTTTGCTTGCTCCCCGCCCATACAGGCCCCCATACCCATTGTTAAATTCTCCCAACCTTTGCTGCTTCTTTTTTTAATGTATCTATTCTGCCACCTAGCCTTCAACAGTGTCATTACACCAAAGCTGCCTTGAACAGTTAGTTGCTCTGCACAGACAGCAGACCTGCTGAACTTTGCTTATCTGGTGAGAGACTTGAAGACTGCATGCTTTTATGTCCTTTTATTTCTAATTGAAGGTCATTGTGCCTTATTTTGGCACACAGATGAGACCATAGCATTAGTATACTCAACACGTGTATTGGTCTCTGCATAAGGAACTGAAGTCAATGTCATGAAGTTTAGAAAACAGAATCAATGTGATAAATAAGCCTATCTGAATCTGTGGTGATATAGCAACACAGAAAAGACTGAAGAACAGCTGCCTTCACTAGTGTTTTTAGAAAAAGAATTCGTGGTGCTTTGTTACCTACAACGTCACATTTCTCCACTTCATGCTTTTCTCCCCAGAAGAATGACATGATGATGCTTCAGCCATTAGGCTTCCCTTGGAAATTACTTCAAAACTTCCAGGAAATCATCACAAGGAAGAGCATTTTTTTTTTGTGGAGGGGGTCCGGTCATGGGGCCTGAACTCTGGGCCTGGGCGCTGTCCCTCAGCTCTTCAGCTCAAGGCTAGTGCTCTACCACTTGAGCCACAGTGTCACTTCCGGCTTTTTTCTTTTTGCTTATGTGGTGCTGAGGAATCGAACCCAGGGCCTCAGGCATGCAAGGCAAGCGCTTTACCACTGAGCCACCTTCCCAGCCCCAAGTAAGGGCATTTTTAAATAAAAGTGTTAGCTGCCCTTTAAAAAGTTTTCCAATCTAAAGAGCACAAATTTTTCACTCAATTGTATTTCTCAAAACTTTGGATAAGCAGTTGATCTTTTAAAGGAAAGATGCAGTAAAGGAAAGGGCAGTGATTGGGGGAAACAAGACACAAATGGGTGATATTCCCACTTCACCTAGAAAGATATGGTCAGCAGTAACAAGGCAATGCCAAGAGGAGCAAAGCTCATGACAGCAAAAGTAAGTGAGCAGCAAGCAAGTTCTCCGCACAGGAATACAGCCTCTGACATTTGTATCTGGCAGAAATGCACCAGCTCCTCCCAGCCAAGCTTGATGGAAACCTCTTTCCAGAAATAGTCTTCTAGAGGCGACTGACTGTGAACAGAAAGCTCTGCCAATAGACTTGAGAGGAGACCTATAGGTACCCCCACTGTCCAACTTCTTTTTCCTCCACTGCTGTATACTAATTATAGACTCTTTGGTGCAAAACCTACCCTGCAGGTTCCCTATCTTTGGAAGAAATCACTGTAGGTAATATCAGGATGCTGAGAATTCTTCTTTCCCCTACGCATTCTTGGGAAGCCTACCCACTGTCCTTGGAGGGCAGTAGCACCAGTCCTTGAATTCCTCCTGACCAGAGCCTGAGAGGAAGAGGAGATAAAGAATGATTGCTCAACACTGACTCTCTGGCCCTCCCCAAAGGTCCTCTCCCCCTCCCACCAGGGGCCACTTCCAGAGGATTCTTTTCTTTCACTCTGTCCTCATCTCTTCCTCTTTTCGCCTATCTTTAGGCTCTATGTTCTTAGCCACTGGACATTGGCCTGTTAAAAAGAGGTGTCACCAGAGGCCATCTTCTGAGAATGCAGGGTGTCTGGCCTCAGACAATTCAGGTTTCCAGGGGAGCCTCATTTCAAATGCTGCCAGGCAGAGCCAGAGCCCACTCCACGCACTGATCTGCCATTCTTCTAGTCTGAGCTTGACACAGATGAGAAAATAACACTTGATCTCCCCCATTTCTGAAAGATTTCAACCAACTTTTCGGATGAATTTGCTCCCTGCTTTACCCAGCCTCCAGACAGAAGGGAGAAGCAATTGGAATCAGCTCCAGGTTTGGGTTTTTTTTTTTCTTTTCTTTTCCATTTAAATCATTATACACAGCTCTCTTCCAGTCAACACTTAAAACCCGTTTGGCAATTGACACAGAAGCACAACTTTAAACTTTAGGCTCCTTTTTAAAATGTGCCTTTTGGAAAATAGATAATCGAGAAGAGAGATTAGGATCTAAGGGGTGAGGGTGGAGGTAGGGGGTGTGAAAGGCACCAAGTGAGATACTCCCAAATCAAACTAGCAAGAGAAATATTTTCCTAAGAGCAATCTTGCAGAAAGAATTCTTATCATAGATAAGGGTGCAGTCTAGTGGCAAACTTCATGAAATGCAGCCCCTTCTCCCAAGGAAGATTAAAGTGCGTTTGCAAGGCAGGAAGGGAAACTTACGAAGGGGAACAGCCCTATCCCAAAGGGCTTCGTCAAAAAACAGCAATGATGGGTCATTTCTTTCCAACCCCTGCCGTCCACAGCCCACCCATACTGCTATTTTCAGAGAAAGCTATAGTCACCATCTTCCCTCTTTAAGGCTTCCATTTCTTTCATTTTCCTAAGGAAAGACAGTGTTCGCAAGTGCCCCATAGACCGAGGTTTTAAGTGGTATGATGATGTCCCTCTCCAGAATCTCTGCCAAGCAGACCCTGTGGCCCTGTCATCTCATATCCTAGAGATGTGTCCGCTTGTATGGATCCACCTTAAGACAAGGTCTCCCTAGGTCTGGTGCCCATTCCCTCCAGAGAACACCCTACACATCAGACTCAGACCTACAGAATAGCGTGGATGGTGTCACTGCGGTCCACCTTGCTTCTACCTAACATTGGACATCAGGAACTCCCGGGGCATCAGATGACAGAGATTCACAGATGCAACAGCATTTCCTTCCCAGTCAGACACTGCTCCCAGCAACACTGCTGGGTGGATGTCCCTTCCTGCAAGGGCAACACACACACACACACACACACACACACACACACATCTTGTGGGGCCAACCATAGGTTAGGAAAGTGGCCACGGATTGACTGACCCTCTAGTCAAGGATAGCCACTCCACCACTGTTAGAAAATACTCTGATTAAATCACTTTCCCCAGACTTTGGAGAAAAGAGGTTTCCAGTTTTCCTTTTTATTTTTACCCCTCTCTTTCTAATTCAACTCACCACCCATAACTGACAAGTTTATACTATCTGCCCCCCCAACACACACACACACACACACACACATCTTACCTAGTAACTGTGATACCAACAGACAGCTCTCTCTAAAGCTTGGGAAGAATTTCTAGGGCACTCTGTGTGTGTGTGTGTGTGTATTTTATATATACACATACATACATATCCAGTTGGTTAATAAGAAAATGTGCCTCCCTCTAGCCTGCCTTCTGCCCAGTTAAAGGAAAGGAGGCAGAGAGAAACCAAGTTATATTGTGCTCCCCTGTCTGGGCAGATTTCTCTCTCTTCCATTTGTCTCTCCACCCCCTTCCCCACAATCCCAGCCTGGTCCCTTCAATCCCCTACTTCTTACTTTGTCGGTGGAGGAGGGTGTTGTACTGGGAGTGGTGGAGGAGAGCCCCCACACGTCTCGAAGGCCTCTCCCCACCCCCACCCCGTGTGAGTTTGTACAGCAAAGCTTGGCATCCTTGCCTGGGTTGGGTGATGGGGAGCTCAAATTGCAACTACAAACTGGCTGACAGCCAGGGGCCGTCTATTTAAAAGCGCCTGCTCGCCCGGAGCCCGCAGTCTCTTTGGAAACTTCTGCCAGAGGGGAAAGAGCTAGGAAAGAGCTGCTAAGGCTGTGGAGGGCTTATTTCCCCCTTTTTCTTCTTCTTCTTTTTTTTTCTTTTTTTTTTTCTCCTCGCGTTTGTTCTTCGAACTTCACGCAAAATCTGTGAATTTCGAAGAGGTGGTAACCAGAGTGGGAGAAAAAAAAAGAGAAGCGCTTGCTGGTTAGGGTTCCGTGTAATCTTTTTCCCCCCTTCTTTTCTTTTCAACATTTTTCTCCCACCACCTCGGCGGCCGCCAACCGTCTCTTACCTGCTCCGCGGCTGCCTGCGGCGCGCTCTGACAGCTGCAGGTTGGAGAAGAGCGCGGTGCACTTTAGATTTTAAGCAAATTGTCTTTTCTGAAGACCATTTCTTTCCCCCCCCCTTCACCCCCAACACACACACACACACACACACACACAGCCTCCGAGCTCATTATTTCGGTGGTGGCTTCGAGGTGAGCAATTTTGTGGCTTTTTATTTCCCCCCACCCCTGGGATTCTGCCCAAATCCCGTCGGGGATTGATAGTCGGCGCCCGGGCTCTCTCCCCGCATGCACCTGGCACGGCTCTTCCTTTTCTTGTCGGGCTCCCAACCTGTTGCCGGTCTCTAATCCTTGCGATCGGGGCTCGCAACCCTCTCCGTACATTTTGCAAGTGTCTGGGGGACGGCACCTGCGCTACCTGCCTGAGATTGAAAAATAAGAAAAAAGAGAGGGGGGAAATCTCCAGGCGCACCTCTTGGCCCCTCTTCTCCCGGCACTCTCGCTCTCGTGCCCCGCCCCGAGGTAAAGGGAGACTCGGAGAAGATGGTGCTCACCACGGTCCTCCTGCTGCTGGCCGCCTATGTGGGACCAGCCCAGGGCCTGGGCTCTTTCATACACTGCGAGCCCTGCGATGAGAAAGCGCTCTCCATGTGTCGCCCCAGCCCCCTGGGCTGCGAGCTGGTCAAGGAGCCCGGCTGCGGCTGCTGCATAACTTGCGCCCTGGCCGAGGGGCAATCCTGCGGCGTCTACACCGAGCGCTGCGCGCAGGGCTTGCGCTGCCTCCCTCGGCAGGATGAAGAGAAGCCGCTGCACGCCCTGCTGCACGGCCGCGGGGTTTGCCTCAACGAAAAGAGGTACCGTGAGCAAGCCAAGATCCGTGAGCACGCACAGGGTGCCCGGGGCCAGGCTCCCGGATGGCTGGGGCGGGGGGGGGGGAGGAGGGGGACTGGGCGGGGAGGGAGTGTGCACAGGAAGGGTTGGGCCCTCGCGCGTGCGCCTGTGGAGCTCTAAGCAGCAAGTGGCTTAGCGGGTGTATCCTGGGAGTCGTGGTGTGGACTATCTGTTCTGGTTACAGGGGCGGGGGGAGGGCAAGAGGAGGGGGGAGCTGCTTCCCCAAAGGAACCTCTCTGTTTGGGCTCCTTCTCCACCACCCCCGCCCCACCCCCAGTCTCTGCAGCGTTTCCGATCCCACCCCTCCCGACTCCTGGAGAAAGAGCAACTCCGATCCTATTCGGTCTGGAGGTCCAAATCCGGTGGTACCCAATATCCTGTCTCAAACTAGGCTACATTTCCATCCCACCCCTGCCTCCCATACGTCGGGTGTCGTGGTTGTTTTTTTCCCCCTGAACTTGAAAATTCTCTTCGTTAAAACATTGTTTAAATTGGGGCCTAGAGAAGAGTTAGCCATCTAATAAGCTAATTCTACCTTTGTCTCCACCAAGCCCCCCCCACCCCGCCCTTCCCCGCCCCCAACTCGCCTGGAAGTGTCCAGTCTGTCGGGTCCGTCCTCCCATCTCTACACCCGCTCGCGCGCCCCAGCGCGTTCCGGGCTCCTCCCCCTCCCCTCCCCTCGCTAACCCCTCCCCCCCCCCCCCCCCGCGCAATCTTGAGCAGCCAAAGAGCTTCTAGGGTGGGGACCCCGAGGCCCCGCCTACAGGCACACTAATTGCTTTGGACGGGAGATGATTGATTGAGGTACAAGATCAAACGCATTAAACTGAAAAATGCCAGTTTTCCCCCCCCCATCCACTCTCACCAGTGAATGAATACTTTCGGGGCGCCAGGATAAGGGATGTGGGGGTGGGGGTGTAGGAGAGTTCGGAAGGAAAGGTTTGGTGTTCTGTGTGGAGTGTTCCTCCCTAAATCGAACCCTTCTTTCGCCTCCAGAGTTCAGATTTTACCTTGGATGAAAGGTGCACGTAGGTTTGGGGAGGCATGGAGGGAGGGAGGAGGTGGGGGGGGGAGATTCAGATCGGCACAATTTCCTGGTTTAGGCTGATCCTCCGATCGCACCCTTCCACTGGTCCCTAAACCTCAGACGCGCCCCCCTCCCCGCACCACCAACCCCGCCCCCCCTCAAACCAGATCACTAGTGGGTGTGGCGTAGATGCCCGCGGGGCCCTGGAACCTCCAAACTCAAAAGTCAAGGGAAAGCCGCCCCTCGGCTTGCCCGGCCCCCAAGCTCTGGCTGCCGAGCGCCGGGGCTTCTATGATTGACGGAGCTACTTGCTCCGGCGGACCCATCCCGCTCCCTTAAACCGGGCAGTTCCCAAGTCTGATTATGTGTGCCTACGCATACGTGTGTATCAGGTCATCTATGTATAGTGTACATCTAACTGGCGAGACACAAGAGTTTGAGTTCTGAGACTTGAATCTGATTGTCTCCCAAAGGAGTCTGGGCTTAGCTAAATTGTGACTATTCGGCGTCCTTTCTTCCGGGGACAGAGCCCCTCGGTCGCCCGGCAATCCTCCGGCGCAACCCCAGCGTGCACGCCAACTACAGACATGCTCTTGTGAACGGGGTGTGTCCGAGCTTGCCGAAAGGCCGGGCAGCTTCCTGAGCTCGGCCTCCTTCCACGTCGGCGAACGGCAGGTTCTCCGGGTCGTCGCTGCCTTGGCAGCCGCTTGAAAGGAGACGCGGGAAGAGACAGCCCGCCCCAGAGACAGAGTTGGGACTCCCTCTGCCAAAAAGGAGTAAACTGATTACCTGGTGCGGGAAGCTGGGCCTCAGGATAACAGTCCAGTCACATCAGAAAAAATGTGCAAGTTATCACTCGGCCGCAGCCTGGCCTCTCTTTTATTTGCCTTGGCTGCAGTCATCCGTGGTGTAGGCCAAGAGTGGGTTTGGAGAGGTGCGCGCAGGGCGCACGCTCACCGCGCGCGTCCTGCCTGGGACCGCGCAGCCGGCGCAGCCAACTCCCCGGCCCCACCTACTGCGCGCGCGCGTTCGTGCATGCTCGCCTTTCGTCCCATGCTAGATTCCTCCGCCCCCTTTAGAATTCCCAGGAGCTTCTTTTCAACCTTCACCTTCTGGGTGCCTTTGGGCCAATCAAGAGTAACCCTCTCCGCCGTGTCCAGCCCCAGCACCTCTCCCCCTTTTCTCCCCCTTCCCTCTTCCCCCTCTTCTCCCCTCCCCTCCCATCTCCTCCCTGCCTTCCTCTGCTTAAGGCCGGTGCCTGGTGGGATTGCATTTGCAGAACACCACTGGACCCTAAAATGTTACACTTGGCTCAGAGACCTTTTTTTTCTTCTTCTTCTTCCTGAAACTGAAGCTTGAACTCAGCACCTGTGTGCTGTCCAGGAGCTTTTGTGACTTTCCTGCCCCCTGCTGGCTTTGAACCATGATCCTCAGATCACATCCTTCTGAGCAGCTAAGATTACAGGCTTGAGCCACCGGTCTCCATCCAGACCATTCTTAAGGAGGGGGGGGGGGGGTCCTTTTCATCTTTTAGCCAAAATTCTTGGTCCCCAATTGATCCCCACTTCATCCCAGCAAAATCTGAACTCTACCATTTTTTTCCCTTCCTCCCGTGGTTGCAAGACACATTTGTAGATTATAGAGACTGCACACACACACACAGAGATGCAAACATATGTAATCTGAGTGTACATATACCATACGTACGTTCAGAAACAAAAGTATGTGTTGTTCATTATGTGTGTTATACAATGGCGCTCCCCCCCCCCCCCCCCGCCCCCCGAAAAAAAAAAAGTCACTTCCAGAATCAGAAGTGGGTAGACTGTGGTGGCTGGCAGCCAAAGCTTCCGGGAGGAAGTGGAGGGGAGGGGAGGTGGAGACTGGGTGTTTTGCTGGGTGGTTGCTGAGAAACATGGGCTAGGGGCGTCGCCTGCTGAGAGAGCCAGGTGCTGGGAGCCTGCGCCAGGCCCAGCTTTGCATTTTGGCCAGTTCAAGCTAGAGATCAATATGGAAGTCGGGGGTGGTGTGTGTGAGGGGGGAGGAAGGTGAAGAGACATAAGTTATTGGGGGGGGACCCTCGCTGAAACTGGTCAAGGAATGGGGCAGTCCTTGTTTGAGGAGGGGGTCTTGTGACGTTAAGGGCTAGAGTCCTGCTTACCTGGCGCATCTGAGACACCTTTCCTGGGCTGGCAGAGAATCTGATGTAGGTGGAATTGCATACTGGTCATTGAGGAATTAGAGGGAAAGAGAAGGGGGGAAATTTTACCTAAATGAAAATGAATTCTGCCTTTGCTTCTTGGAGGGGTTTGACCACCATCATCCTGGCTTCAGTGCCAAGGCCGGAGTTCCAGAGTGAGGTTTACTAGCCAAATTTATGTCTGGGTTGAACAAGATCATGGAAAACTGAAGGACTTCAGCCAGATTCCTTTCCCACCCCCATTCCCTCCCTTTGAAACAAGTCTTTGAGAACTGGCTGTGCCAGGGCCAACCAAAATGAAAGCTAGCAAAGGCCAGGGATGGGCTTTAACTTGACTTTTCTTGCTTTTTCTCCATCTTTCCTTTCTGCTGTGTCAGCTCAGCCAGGAGGAGCCAGCACAGCTGGCCCAGTAAGAGCTCCTTAGGTTTCCATTTCTCCCCCCCCCACTTCTTACTCCTCCCTCCCCTCTGACTCCCTTCCCTTCATCTCCCCTCCCCCACCCCCCTCTTAGGCATCCCCTGAGGGTAAGTTTTAAGTCTGAACAGCTGTGGGTTAGGCTTCTGGCTTAGAGGAAGCAGGTGGGCCCACAGCTGCAGGGGGAAGGCCCCTAGGCTGACCTTCCAGCCGAGGTCATCTCTTGGGTTAAAGCTAAGGGCTGTGCTAAAGTGCGGAGGCCTGGAGTAAATTCAAGCTGAGGGAGGGGGGAGGGGGAGGAGGGAAGCAAAAATTTTCCAGAGTTTTCCCTTTGTACCTGAGCAATGCCTTTGAAACTTTAAGACACTGAATGTGTAAAATTGGAAGAACAGATTTCCCACACACCAGAGCCACTGCATGGAGAAACTGGGGAGGGGGGTTGGGGAGGGAACTCCATAAATAACTATCCCAGCAAGAAAGAAAATGGTTGCCACAAGAGAGACTAGTAGGCAAGTGGGAGGGGTTTGTGTCCTTCCAGCTTTGCATTTTTACCACAGTTACAAATTTCCAGAAACTCTCTTTACATTCACATCTGGGTATGTTATTCAAAGCAATAACATTCATGGTATATTTGCAGAAATAAGTTGGCAAATAAACAAGGGAGCCAGTGAAGGTCTCTATTCCTATTCCCGCCCTCCCCCCAAGTATCTATTGAATCTCCCTTTTACCTCAGTTCTATTTCGTCCCATGATTTGTTATCATATCCTTAGTTACTATCTTTCTTTCTTTCTCCCTCAACATAAATCCTTAGGAGTGACTACAAATGTCTAGAAACAGAGAAATGGCCTTTTCTGCCAGGCTACTCTGTTTATACTAATCTCTCCAGAATTGTCTGGGTGTTGACCAAAGAATGTTAAAGCTGGAAGAATCCCACAGCCCTCAGCTCAGCCAGGTCCCTCACTTTATGGATGAGACCACTCTGGACCAGAATGGGAATCACTTGCCAAAGACCTGAGGCAAGAGGTAGAGACAGGACAGGGCTGTAGCTCTTCTCCTTGCTAAGGGTGCCAGCAGTTTTTGCGGACAGGCCTGTCTTGGGCCAGTGGTCTTGTCAAGGAAGAGAATCAAAAGGCAATAAAGGAATAATGGTCAGCCTGGCATTTGGGTCCAGAAGCCAAACCTCATTTCCTGCAGACAAGAAGCACTTCTGGTGTGGGCAGGCAGGTGTTCTTGCTGCCCCTTAGTGTCTCAGCTGTCCCTCTTCTCTACAGGGGACACAATGCCTGTCTGGTCTCCTTTCCATGGCAACCTGCACAGCGCAGGGGTCCATGGGACCTGACCAGCAGGA